GTGAGCCCTGCTTCTTTCTTCTGGCGTACAGGAAAAGCTTCGAGAAGTGTCATAATTTTTTTTTTTTTAATTATTCGAGGAGCAAATTGACTTTTTTTTGCGCAGAGTCCGAGTATTTTTTTATTCAGAAGGTGTACTGTGGGCACGAGTACACTGTTGATAATCTGAAATTTGCCGCATCGGTAGAGCCGAAAAACGAAGAAGTCAAAAAGAAACTTGCATGGGCACAGGAGCGACGAAGACTTGGTGAATATACGGTGCCGTCGACAATTGGCGATGAAAAACTCTTTAATCCTTTTATGCGTGTGAGGTGTGGCCATTTTCAAAAACGAACTACACTTTTTGAATTCGCTAACAATGTTTTTTTATATAGTAAGTATTCCTGCACGGAAGTCATTGACCTTTTGTCTTCCTCTGCCTTTCCACTAACACCTTCCCCCACTCTTCGCTCTCCCTTTCGTTTTCCGATTGTTGTGTGGAAGTCGCAGTGTTTAAAAGCTATATCAAAATAATGTAGAATTTAGAACGTGTCAGCTTCTGGAAGGCCAAAAGCCGGCAGCAGTTCGTGACGTTCAATTCAGTTTGGGCGGCGCGAGCCCCGGCAAAAAAAGTTTAACTGGCCGATAATATTTGTAGGTGAAGCATCGAAGGACGAGTGAGTCATCGCTGGGAGGCTGGAGCATGTGAGCTCTGGATGTGGTACCACTGACAGTCATGTAATGAAACAAAGTCTTTTAAAGAAATGATTGTAGTTTAAAATAGATTAATTTCCTTTCTTTTACAGAAGAAATCGTTTCAGGATAAGTGAGGAACTAAGGAACGTGGCCAACTCGACGGATCCTGTCACGGTAATGGCTAAAATCAGATCGATGAAAAACAGCTTCCGTCCTTGATAGGATCGGGCAGTAGCAGCAGCTTCGCTTTTGCATTAGAATTCGGCGGCTGTTTACTTGAGTAATGTACAGTTCGACAGCTCAGAATACGATTTCGATCGCCCTGTTGGGGATTCAC